TTTTTTAATTCGATAAAGTTCCCAGAACGTATCGAAAAATCCTAAAGCCATAGATAAAATATAGACTACTTATTCTTCGATAATGCAATCTTTACATTGTAAAGTATCAAGCATGTTGATCAATTATACGGTTCTTTTTGGTATTGCAAAAAAAAAAAAAAAAAAGAAAAAAAGAAAAATTCTTTGTACCATTCAACATGTATTGTCTACTCGTGTTCCTTTTCAGTTTCGCTGATTGAATTTTCTTTTAATCCTTAAATAAAAAGAAAAAAGGAAAAAAAAAAGAAATGAACTTCACTTTTTTTTTGCATAAAATTGACCTCGTCGCTTTCATGAGATCTACAAAATTTTCTATCAGCGCGTCGAGCTTTAAAAAAAACTTAAGAACCAACATTACAAGTTTTAATTCCTCACATGACACGATGAAAGAGAAGATCCTTGAGATCCTCTCGCTTGATTCTATTACCATCTTCAAATTTTTCTATCCCAATCTAGATCTCGTTTCGACAAACGAAAAAACACTTTTAGATTTAGAGCAATTCTGTATTCTTTTTTTTTTTTTTTTATTGGAAGGAATGAAAAGAACGAAATTTGGAATTTTCGCATTATAAATAATGCGATTGTAATATTTATAAATGCGGAAGAAGAATCCCATTTGACACCACAATACAGAAAAACAACCGTGAGAAATAAGCAACAGAAGATTTCTCGCTACTTTTCGACCTGCAAGATTCATCAGTACGATCTTCAGCTACTTGTGTGTATTTCGATTGTGCAAAAACCACCACGAAAACATAAACGACGAATACTCGTCATCTGCAGCAAAAATCCGGGTCGCGTATCGTTCAACCGGAGGTCAACAGCTTCTAATCATCCCCTAGCAAATCACTAATTTCCATACTAATCGCCGCTAATAACCGTTCTCGTGGCGATCGATGCGACATGGATGAACATAAAAAAAAAAGAGGGGGAGAGAGGGTGGGAAAAAAAGCCGTGAAAAAGGCGGTGCACCGTGAAAAAGAGATGAATTTATTATTAATTCCGCGTGTATCGATCGGACCTCTGGCGAATACATACCGAAGGTCTTGGAAACAAGGTTCGCCGGGACACACGGGAAGAGTGGGGGCGGGGGTGATAGAGGTGGGAAAAACTCGTTGAACCGATTAGAACACGGCGACGTACGACGATAAACGTAGGCGTTGGACGTTTTTCACGGTATTAAACGGTTGCGTAAATCCCGGCTTCTTGTTTAGTCACGCCCAGCCATTGTTACAACGGGCTGCGGGGTGAGTGAAACTAGGATCGTTCGAGAAAATCGCTCGGCATCGACATCCACTTCGCTCCACCTTTCAATTACGCGTAGCCTGTTTACTCGCCGGGGTTGGAGGGATGGTAAACAGAGTCATACGTTTCTTTTTAACGTTCCGTTGCTCCGGGCGGTTCCTCCCCCTTCCCCCCACCCCCACCCCCACCCCCTCGTTAATTAGCAGTTTAATTAAATGAAGTTTGCGTTCTTCTGGTCCCCTGCGAGACGAAAGATCGCGGCTTTCGATAGCAATTCCGTGCCGGCGAGAATCCAGCTGGGAAATGAAGAAGGCAAACTCGCACACACGCATGCAGATGACGCTTGGCCGCGGTGCTCGTTGTTCCGTAGCACGAATGCAGAATCACGCTTCATTACATTAATCAGGCCGTTTACGAATGCGATTATAATAAGTTACGTAACAGCGTACAGCTCGGTCTGCTTTGTACACATTACATTGCTGCGGCGTTGCGTTACGAATATCCCCTTAGAAATCGTAGCCTTTGTCAGAACCTCTGCCAGATTCAGATTTTATCCAGTCAGCAATTTCAGAAGGAAGCATGTTCCCTCGAATTATTGAGTTTAATTAATAACTCGCATAGAAATAGTCTGATTCGCAAGAAACGAAGGACGACGTGTGTGACTTTTTTTTGGAGGAAATTCTTGTTTAGAACAAGGCTGAAAAAGATGTTTCTCGCTTGAAGATCGGAGCTTCAAAAGTCATGTTTGCGTGAAAAGCTTGCGAGTTCTGGCTCCCGGTTTTCGGCGACAAATAAGAAACTCGTTGGCTTGCAAATTGTCACAGCCGCTTGCAACACCCGTACGGTTCCCGAGATTTCGCTGGTTTCTGACGCGCCTATCGCCATTGACCAGGGAACTCTGAATTTTCTGAAAATCCCAGGAAGCCTGGAACTTTCTGACTGTGTAAATACCCGAAACGAAATAATGCGAGAAAATAGCGAGCAGTCAGGTCCGCGTCGTGAACCCGGCGTATAAATTAAGTATTCACCGCGTCTAGTAGGAAATTACCGTGTAAACAACAGAAACAAAGCGCGCGGAGATTGAAAATTAAATTTCAGATCGTTCCCTGTTCATCGCGCGATGAAAGAAAAAAAATCCGTGACATTCTCCCCCCTCGTTCGAAGTAACGTCATTAAGGATCCGTTAACGTTTCGATTTCTTAAGAGCCAGATTTCTAAAGTCCCAATTATTTCCCCATACAGTCCCTAATGAGATTTTAACGATCGTCAATCCCACTTCTAATAATAAACTTCCCCGACCGGAGCAACAACAAATAAGTTGGAATAAAGAAGGGTATCGGGTAATGCATTTTTTTACAAAGTTCATTCGCATAACTGTCTATTTTCTTCGAGCGTACGACGAATCGTTTCGAAGAATTGTCGACAAGTCGAGAGGAAGTATTGACCAGGCGGTCGGTTTAAGACTTGCGTTTTGCTCGCAAATGGTTCGTCGCGTACCGAGTAACCGTACCGAAGTGCAAGAACATAATTTCCCAGTGTATTATTCATGATGTACGAAGAGGCTGCAGAATGTGAGCTCGATCCGAATGAATGAATGAATGAATAAGCGAGAGAGATACGAATAAGGATGATATACTGGGTGTTCGTCTCAATGGTTGCCAGGATTTTGTAGACGCTCTCG